AAAGAACTGTTAGAGTCTATAGTGGCAGTGAAAGGACTGCTAGTATCCGTAGCCTGCACAGAGCTAGTGCCAGTGGCAGTAGAACTGTTGTGAGAGGTGGTGGTTGGTGGTTTTCTCAGATGGAGGAGAGGGGGTGTCTTGGTCTTGTTTCAGTTGGCAATATTGTGGGTACCACACGTGTAGAAGATAGTCTCTTGGCCATCGCTATGTATTACGGAGCACAAAAAAGATGGAGGATGTGAAAAAAGAAGGGGAGAGACAGATGTTTGTATAGATAGAGAGGAAGGAAAGGGGGGAGAAAGGGTGTTCTTACCTGCAGTGCAACATTGAGGTGCGAGAATAGAAGCCTTAGTCTACCAAAGAGTCGAAACCTACACAAACAACATTATTTTGCTGCCTAGAACGTAACCATAACAGCGGTTTGAATTTTAAATACCCATCTCTGTTTTCGTGAGCATCTCTCATCGGTCCCCACTGGACAGATGACAGAGCATACAGCAGGCGGCCTGATTCTGGCTGTAGCACAAGAATAGCAAGACAGTCAAAAGGAGGCAAAGAACTAGTAAATATCACACTTTAAAACACAACAAACTCATGTAAAATCGATGTATACATACTTGGTTTGTTAAAAAATTGGCGTAAAAAAACATGCATCCACAATTTGCAGGCATACCATGTGTTACACTTACTTTTATTTCCATGAGATTCAGAGGTTTAGTGTGCTCGCTTCTAATGATGTCCATCGTAGCATCTCCAATAGCTCTTTGATGGACATCTACTATCATCTCACAGACAGAGCATTCATCTAATACACATACGTACCTGACTGGTGGTTTGAAGGTGGTCGAGGACAGGTTGGACTGGTAAAACCTGTTTTCTCTCCCGAGAGGAAGAATTCCAATAGGGATGGACCTCATTTCCTCCTGGAAATGAGAGGAGGAAATGAAAGGAGGAAACGAGTTATTGTGTGGAAATGGATACACGTACCACATCAGTTCTTCTCATCAAACCAGTCAACACCTTCAGGAAGGGAGATGAAACGAAATTTACAAAACGATTAACTAATTACTATTCACAAACCTCCATCAGTGTTCCATCTCCCCCGGCAACCACGATGTAATCAGTCTGGGGGTCTATGTAGCTCATCAGGGAACGCAGGTGACCTTCTCTTTGACTCTGGTATTAGTGAATGGAGATGTGATGTAATAGTGACGTAATGTGGGTAGTTACACCAACCTCGACAACAGTCACATCAATTCCAGACAGGTGGAAGAGTGGAGCAGAATACTTCATGAACTGCAGCTTGGCATCTCTGCAGACACATACAGACCGCAATTTTAAAACTAGAAGAATAGCTATACCTCTTATTGGCTGCGGGATTTAGCAAGATGACCATCTTTTTGGCTTGCCCCGGCTTCCCATCTCTCTCAGCAATGACCACCCTCTCCTCTCCATATCTCTACAACCAGTACAAGACTCTAAGATTTTATGTCACACGTGGGCGTGCAATGAGGTATAGTTTAGTCTCCAACTAAACCTTGGCTTGTCTGCAGTAGGCTCGTATTATGTTGTTGTCCCTGGAAGAAATGGAAGTGGAGTTACTGGTTGTGTGGGTAAAAGACGGAGTGCACGGCCCACCTGAATCTCTTGGCGGCATATTTCGATACCAGGATCGAGGCTACGGCCGCAAACGTGTACCTTTTCCAGTACACTCGGAGAGTCCACGCGAGCGGAGCCATTCCAATTGGTGCGCAGCAACGTTACGCGGAGGGAAACGGCTCCGGATACTACGCCAGATACGCCCACTTTTCCTGCAAAACATGGCAGCTGAACTGGAAGAGATGGAGATGGAGATGGTAGCAGGTGTAGCAGAAGGTCCCGAGGAAGAGATAGCGGACGGATTTAATCCTGCAACTCCAGGTCGGTAACGAGACTTAGCTATAGCTACTTAGCATTGTTCTTTGCATGCAGGGATATACGGGTGGAAGAAACGGTGCCTCTACTTTTCCCTGCTGCTGATGTTGGTGCTAATCCTAGTTAATCTCGGACTCACTCTCTGGATCGTTTTCGTTCTCGACTTCAACGTGGTGAGTCTAGCTAGTCGTAGAAACGAGTCTTGCTCGCTAGCTACTGCAGTAAGCAATCTCTTCGCTGATTGTGTGCAGCACGGAATGGGGAACCTGCGGATCACAGACTCGGGGCTGCGGATGCAGGGAAGAGCGGAGTTTACCGACACTCTGTATGCCCCCCCCCCCCAACCCCCAAAACCCCAAAAAAAACAACAACCACAACAAACCACCCCCAACAACCCCCCCAACCCCCCCCCCCCCCACCACCCCCCCCACCCCCACACCCACCCCAAACCCCAACCCCACACCCAAAACCCAAAACCCCCCCCCCCCCCACACCAAAAACAACCCACCCACCACCCAACCAACCAAAAAACCCCCCCCCCAAAACCCCCCACCCCAAAACCCAAAAAAAAAAAAAACAACCCCCACCAAACAAAAAACAACCACCAACCCCAGCAAGACATACAATGGCCAAAAACCCCAAACAACAAAACCCCCCACCCAAAACAACCAACCCAAAACCCCCCCACCAACCCCAACCAAAAAAACCCACCCCCAAAACCAAACAACCCCCCCCAACCCCCCACAAAACCCCAACCACCCCCCCAACCCCCCCCCAACCAAACCAAAACACACACCCCCCCAACCCCAAAACCACAAAAAACACACACCCAAACCCCCCACAACCACAACAACCCAAAAAAAACCCCCACAACAACACAAAAAAAAAAAACCACAAACACCCCCCAAAAAAAACCCCAAAACCAAAAACAAACAAAACACCAAAACCACCAAACAACCCCCCCCCCCCCCCCCCCCCCCAAACCACCCCCAAAAACCAACACAAAAAAAAAACAAAACACCCCCACCAAACCCCAAAACAAACAAAAAAACCCAACCAAACCCCCAAAAACACCCCCACAAAAAACAAACAAACACAACCACCCAAAAACAACACAAAAAAAAAAACCAACACCCCAAAACCACCCCCCACCACCCCCAAACCCCCCAACCAAAAACACAAAAAAAAAAACAACCAAAAAAAAACAAAAAAAACCCAAAACCCCCAAAACAACCACACACAAAAAAAAAAAACAAACCAAAAACCACAAAACCCCCCAAACAAACCCCCAAAAAAAAAAAAACCCCAAAAAAAAAAAAAAAAAAACCCAACAACCCACCCACAAAACAAAAAAACCCCCCCCACCAAAAAAAAAAAAAACAAACCAAAACCCCCCCCCACCCCCAACCCCCCTTTGCTTCGGAACAAGTATATATAGCCACATACATACTCGTACATCAGGCTTTGTAGCGTATTACAGATGAAACTCTCGTGCAACTTCAAAAGCCATGCATTATGTTCTATTGGAAACATGTTGGTAACCTACCCATACTGCAGTAAGCACTCCCACAACACACTCATGTATCGCGGCTTGTTTAAATAGAGCGAAGTGGCGAAAAGGAAATTGTCTACTGTATGTTCAGGGACCAAGTCGCTACTGATTCAGTCTCGAGAGAGCGCGTCAGACGATCTCAGGAACGGTGGAGAGTCACAGATGTCTCTCTCTACTCTCTCTCTACCGTGACGAAGTCACTGTTACAAGCAACAGTTCATCCAATGCGTTCTCTGAGTCTATGCACATGAGTGCACTGCTCATCCTCACCAGGAGCAGTGTGCACCTGCTGTGCGTGCGTTGTTCACGCTGCAATCAGACTTATCATCACTGTCGTCTGCAGACTCACTTCTCAGTAAAGCACCAGCAACGCACTAGAGACGATCTGTCTGCACCCTTGCTTAGCGGTATTCGGGGTGTGTGTGATTTCACCCACAACATTCTGGGCACTGGTTTTCCTGATTTGCCACTAAGGGTTATCGAAAGTGTTCAGGGGGTTGGTTAGAAAGTTTAGGTCCTATTTCTCCTCATTGCCACTAGCACTGCACTATATCCAGCGATGTATTCAAGGTGGTGTTTTGGTCTGTCGAGTATGAAAAGATCGCAATTTTCCACAACGACTATAATAATAATAGCATGAAAAAGCACAGGCATAGATAGCTCTTTGTCAGTGCTACAAGTGATTCCTAGTCTTCCCGCCAAAGGTTGGAGGTCCTCTGGGGCTAACAGTGGAGGCAGGGGTACAGACCAGCTCAGTGAGAGCGCTGCCAGGGAGAGATCTCACTCTCGAGGCCAGGGGAGGGAGACTCGAGATGGTGGGAGGCGACGGAGGGCTGAAAATTGAGGGGGGCTTCACTGGGGGGAGTGAGGGGGTCGAAATTTCGTCTAATGCTGATATGAGTTTAGCCTCCAGTACTGGCTCTGTAAGTTCTATTCTGGTTTCTTGATGAAAATTAAGCTCCAATAAAGAACACCTCTTTATAAAGGACACTTAGTTCTGTCCCATACTCTGTAAATACGGCACTTTAAGGTGTCCTGCACAGTTCGATATTCTATATTGATGACCCTTATTCAGAGGTTTCGCTGTGTATATTCCACCCACAGATTGTGCTGTCTTCGTCTTCCATTTTGCTGAACAACCTCCCCATCACTGACACTTCCACCAGCGACACAGTGATGGAAGTGTGTGCATGCAGCTCGGGGAAACTCTATTTAGCGCCCGCTCTATCACCCCAAGGTTGTCAGGACGACAATGGCATCTGCAGCTCATAATCTTATGGCAGAGAACCGGACTATATTAACTATGATGATCTGCAGCTTTACAATGTGGCACATAAAGACACACTGTTTATAATGGCATCACGCAGATTATGTGGAAGCTTCAGTCAATGATAATAGTCAAAAAGTTCATTCCAACCGTTGTTTCTTGGCAGCAGATCTGAGTAAAATGTGACACAACAGAGCAGAATTAAATTGACAGAGCATTGATTGTATTATGCACGACTTACTCAGCAGATGGCTTGTTCTTTCTCTTGTCGATTATCTGAATAGATGCACACATAATAATGTACATGAAATCTAAATCACCGGCAGTCTCTAGTCTCTAAGTTTTTTAGCTGGTGCAACAAAAGCTGACCAACTATTTCTAGTTATTATACAGGTTGAGTGAAAGAATTTTGGTGCATATATACTTTGGGAGAATCTGGACAATGAGTGCTGGATAGAAATGACACAGCCTCATAAGAGGCAAAGTGAAGAAAAGCCCTCCCTCCTGAGTATAATAGTCTCCAGTAGGTATGTGTACACATTTACGTACCTGAGAGATTTGCTGCCACTCTCTGTTGAGCTTGGCTTTCTCCCTGGCCTTATCACTGAGACCACCAAACCTTCTCGTCTTTCGTCCGTCGTTCATCTTCACCCCGTACTGGAACGCAGCCCTGGAGGGAGATCGCGGAACCGGGAACGGAAACATGCGACGTCGGACTGGTGTCATGGAGTCTTACTTTGGCATTGCCTCTCGGCCAGACTGGTAGCTGCTGTATTCTTCCTCCGTTTCAAAGTCCCACCTCTTCACTGGTCCCTTCTTGTTACCCTACACAACAACAACAACAACAACAACAAGCCCATGTTGTCGTGCATAAATTGTGTATACAATAACTACATACTTTATGTATAGCTCATTTTGTATAATAGTCACAATTCCCGAGTTTGACTCAGCATGGAAGCTGGTTATTCTCCTAAGGCCAACTACAAACTTTCCATCGCTAAGTATCTGGTCTTTTACAACTCGGATATTGCTATGGTAACGAGGCCACACCCACCATGTCCATCTTGGTGTAGTCGGCCTCGTCGTCGCTGTCGTAAGTTGCGTCGTATTCTTCCGCCATTCCAGGATAGCACTCCGCATAGTGTCCCTCGAGGAGACCGCCGAACCCAGAATTGCTAGCTCCGCTGCTGGTGGCACCTCTCTTTGTTGGTCCACTGTCACTAATAGCAGGGGCTACCCTTCCTGTCCGTGAGGATTGGTCAGGTTGCTGCTGCTGCTGCTGTTTGGCTGAGGCCCATGGAGATTCTCCAAGAGTTGGCTGTGATAGAGAGAGAGAGAGAGAGAGAGAGAAATGACTATGTATTGATCAGGCAAGTTAGTCACTTTGGGGCGTTCAGGAGTTGGAACATTCAAACTCAGTGTACGTAAATCAACCTTTCACAACAAAACGACTCCAGTTACATACCCCACACATTATGGTATCGGAGAACTGATTCGGACCCAGACTATTAGTAAAATGGGAACATTTGGTGCTCGATTCACATACATACTGTGCTATGGAACTCACAGGAGCCTCTTGTCCGGGGAACCTCTGAGCCACGGCTCTCACAAACTGCTCCGTCTCTCTCTTTATAGCTACGTATGTACATTCCACCACAAATAGACCACATATGCATTATGACAATACATTATGATAGGTACTGTATATGTATGTATATGTACACTCGACCTTTAGCTGTGACTCCTTCCTACAGTATACAGAGAGAAGCACACAGTACACATAATGTAGAATAATGTATTCACTCCAGATAAAGAACACCTCTCTATATAGGAAATGCAGCGCCAATACTTAACCTCTGAATAAAGGACACCTAATATATCCGTGTTTATATCCAGTGCTAATAACGTACACTTCACCGTTGTTTCAAGAACATACATGTAGACGTTAAAAAAAGAGAAATTCATGGTTCCAGCTCGTTGCTAATGCATGGCTCACATTATCCTCCAGTGCTGATTTCCCAAAGTAGTTTGTGGTTGGCTGAGCCCCTGACACAGCTCCTGCGCCCATGGCGGCCTTTGGCTGAGCAGACTTTGGGTCAAACACGTATTCTCCCACATTTGGGTAGATGCTGTGCGTGCAACGGACGGAGTAGAGAGAGGGGAGGGAGTAAAGGGAGGGGGAGAGAAAAGAGAGAGATTAACTTCGGAACTTTAGTGACAACTATGAATAAAGGAAACCTATTAACATGTGTTGATCTAGTTTTGTTAACCTCCAACTAAAGAACACTTCTTTAACTCGAGTGCTAATACTTCGTACTCCTAGTTAAGGTCACCACTATACAAAGTCACGTCACAGTGTCCTGCCTGTGTACATATATGGAGGTTCCATTGTATCAGTGCCACGTGTATATACCTATCCTCTTTGGGTGGTTCAGCTGGCAGCTCGTCTCTGGTGAGGAGGCCCTTGCCAGCAGGTCCTCTGTCTCTCTTCCGACCTTTCTTACCACTGCGGGCCCCCTGTCTCAGGTAGGAGAGGATCTGGGTCAACTTGTTGATGACAATGTCGTTGGTTGTCAGGGTCGTAACCTGATCGCGGGAAGAGACAAGGATATAAAGGATGAGGTAAGGATCGTCTCCATACACACAGTTACCGAGGAGTCACGCTTACATCAGTGCTTGCCAAAGTTTTGGAGGAGTGTGAGTATTCAAAATGTACAGAGCGCTTATACGTGTGCTGGATGACACAAATGTTGGGTCCACGGGCAGCAATCTTAATGTTACACATCATCAAGTGTGTTGTTGATCTACACATTCACCTGAATTGCTGATATAGTGCAAACGTTGATCATACGGACGTTGATCAGTACGAACGTGATCAGTACGAACGTTGATCTAGTACGTGGTTTTGAAAAGTAAAATGTAGACATGCCTTAAGGGCAAAATTTAGAAATGTTACTAACAATAGAACAAAACAAAAGGGTCCAGTGCAAGAATGCAATTAAGTTTCCATTTTCAGTAACAGTTTCTAAATATAGCCCGTGTATTGTACTCCCACATTCCTTTTAAGCAGTGGAGTACATGTATATACCTCAACAGTGGGGCAGTCGGCCTTGCTCCTAATGAGAGTGGTCGGAATGTCACTCTCTGCATACTCATCGTCCAACTCAAACACATAAGCCTGCAGCAGTGCATTGCAATGACATCACCATGACGTAATGCTAATTGCGCACACACACCATTCGTCCGGGGAAAAAGTGCTCGTTCTTTTCCGGGGGCTTGGAGAGGAAAAGAGTACGATACACGCCTTTAGCTGCAGAGAGGGAAAGTGAATGTTGGGATCCCAAATTGTTGAGAAGTTTTTTTCCCTATGTATTGCGATTCACATCTGCTGCACACTGCTCACCCATCTTTGTCTTGAAGGTGATGTCTTCCTGGAGGGCCTCGGCCTTGCTCCTCTCCTTCTCCATCTTCTTCTCCAGGAGGTACATCTCTTCCTCCTGCTGCTCTCTGTACGTCAGCTCACTGCGGACCTGTCACAACAGACAACCGCATAACTACAGCGGATCCTCCGATAAGGGACCCTCCGAGATAGGGACGACCTCTCTATAAGGGACAAAATTGTTGGCCCCATAGTGTCCCTTGTTCAGAGGTTCCACTGTATATACTCTAAATGAGCCTCAATGGGCCTCAATGGTGTTAGATAGGGGAAACGATGAACCGTTTGAGTGAAAAATACAAATGGTTGGAGCGAGATAGGGGGAAAGATGAACAGTCTGAGTGAAAAATACGAATGGTTGGAGCGAGATAGGAGGAAAATATAAATGGTTGGAGCAAGATAAGGGGAAATAGGAACGTTGGGAGGGACATGTAGGATGGATGAAAAGACGAATGGTCAGATTGAGATAAGGCGACCGAAATGTTATCGATTACATACCTTCTGAAGAAGAGAATAGTCGAGACCTTTCACGAGGTGAGTGTGCTCCATGTCTCCTCCGAGGTATTTGGACTCCTGTATCTCCTTCTTCCTCTGCTCTTCCTGCACCTTACTGGGATAAGACACAGGGAGGCATTAAATAGGGATGTGTGCAATTTGACAATTAACTCACGGATCGACATTAGGAGCTACAGCTCTGTATCCAGAGTTGGTCGGTGCAGGATCTTCAACACCGGTGTAGTCAGGATTAGCTCCTTCCCTACGCTCCTTTGCCTACACATTACACGACAGGCTCTACACAACAAACCGGTTAACCCCATCTCTATACTCCTTTGCCTACACACTCACAAACCGGTTAACCCCATCTCTATACTCCTTTGCCTACACACTCACAAACCGGTTAACCCCATCTCTATACTCCTTTGCCTACACACTCACAAACCGGTTAACCCCATCTCTATACTCCTTTGCCTACACACTCACAAACAAGTTAACCCCATCTCTATACTCCTTTGCCTACACACTCACAAACAGGTTAACCCCATCTCTACACTCTTTTGCCTACACACTCACAAACAGGTTAACCCCATCTATACACTCTTTTGCCTACACACTCACAAACCGGTTAACCCCATCTCTATACTCCTTTGCCTACACACTCACAAACAAGTTAACCCCATCTCTATACTCCTTTGCCTACACACTCACAAACCGGTTAACCCCATCTCTACACTCTTTTGCCTACACACTCACAAACAGGTTAACCCCATCTATACACTCTTTTGCACGTACATTCAAACCGCATATTGTGTACTAAACACACAAAGCAGCTATGAAAAACTGTTGGACTCACTCTGTCCCTGTACTTCTTGGCCCATTCCGCCTCCCTCTCCTCCTCCTCCTTCTTCATCTTTGCATAGAGCGTCTTCTTCATAGTTTTGTCCGCGGATCCTCCATGACTGCTGCTCTTCCCTATGGAGCTCGTGGAGGCTGACCTAAAGGAGATGTATGTATCATAATATAGCTGGAAATGTTAGAGCAAGAAAATTTTGATGATTTAGTAACAAATACGAAGAGATCTTGTGTTTTTTGAACCCAAAAATTTTTGCTCACCACACAAATGGGCAAGACAGGAGGCGAAGAGAGGAAACAGATAAAAAAAGGAGAAAGAAACAAGACAGGGAGAGAGAGAAAGAAACGGGAGGGGAAGAAAGAACCTTGTCTTGTGGCCGGACGGAGCCGGTTTCTTGGCAGAGACTGGGGTCTCCATGGCGGAGGCTCCGGAAGACGAAGTGGAGACGCGAGGAGTCATCATCAGCCTCCGGAAGTCATCGTTGCTGAGGTTACGTTTCTCTCCAACGTCCCCGTCAGGTGGAGCAATGGGGTTGGAGTAGGCTTCAGGGAGAACTAAACACACACAGTTACACACACGAGGAACAAACAGTGGATCAGGGTGCGCTAAAACACCAAGCTAGGCCTTACTTTCCGGCATATTGGTGAGCTACTGGATGCACAACCAGCGCAGCTTTAGGTGGTAGTGAATATCAGGTAGAGCAATGCTCGAAACTCGCACCTACAGCAAAACTCTGTTGTCGCGTCCAGGGTGCGCGTTAATTAGCGAAGAACCGACCTTTGCCCTTTGCTTGCTGCAAGCTCGCAGTTCTGTAGCTGCGAGTGCTGCAATGGCGTCTGGGGGTTCAGCTTCTCCAGCAGCCAGTGGCAACGTCCCGCAGAAAATTCAGCGGCTGGACGAAGCCGTTGTCAATAAAATCGCTGCAGGAGAGGTAAGTACATACATGAGCGGGAGCTAGCAGACTATATCTCTCTGTACTGCAGGTGGTGCAAAGACCTGCAAATGCCATCAAGGAGATGATGGAGAACAGGTAAACTCATGCAGAGCCGGGGCCTGTATCTCTCACTGTGATTCTCTCTGGTGCAGTCTGGATGCAGGGGCCATCAGTATACAGGTTGTAGTGAAGGCAGGTGGACTGAAACTTATCCAGATTCAGGACAACGGTTCTGGGATTAGGGTCAGAATACCACATAACTACAAACTTTCACGAGAAAATTTTTTGGAAATGTTGTGACAAACGAGCTGTTTTATATATAGCTAGCTGACCAAGTTTATAAAACTGCTTTTGCAAGAAGTAGGAGTGATTTGCGAAAGTATTTTTTCTTTGCGAAAGTGATTGAGTAGCTCTATCCTTTTCAAGTTTGTGTAATTGCATGGCGTGTGGTGTTTCTGTAGAAGGAGGACATGATGATAGTGTGCGAAAGGTTCACGACAAGCAAATTGAGAAAATTTGAAGATCTCTCCAGCATCAGCACCTATGGCTTCAGAGGAGAGGTGAGGGGTTCAGGGAGAGGTGAGGGTAATAAGTTCCACTAAACATACTTTAAAGGGAACGTGGCGGGCTAAGTTTAGAAATGGTACTAAAGATAGAACAAAACAATAGGGGCGCAGTGAAAGAATGCAATTAAGTTCTGTTTTTAGTAACATTTCTAAATTTAGCCCTTACATATACTGACACATTCCCTTTAACTGTGATGTTTTTTTGAGGCTCTGAATGTTCTGTTTGGAAGAGACGTTCAACTGGCTAACCTTACCATAATGAAGTTGGTTTTTCCGTTTTGGTTTGGTCCGTATAGGAACACACTTTAACCTTACTGTAACTTTTATTGACGCTCTGATTATGTCCCACCGCAGTGTACATTGACACGTTTTGAACAGACTTAGTTACTGTAATGTCTTTCTTCTTTCCTTGAGGCTCTGGCAAGCGTCAGCCATGTGGCTCACGTCACCATCACTACTAGAACTGCAGAGTCAAAGTGTGCCTACAAGTAAGCCTGAGTGTAAGAGTGGTAGTGATATTGTTTCACCGTGTTCAGGGCGTCATATGCTGATGGGAAGATGTTGCCGTCAAAGCCAGGGGGTTTGGCTGAGCCACGCCCCTGTGCAGGGAACCAGGGGACCCAAATTTCAGCGGAGGACTTGTTCTATAACATGCCCACCAGGAAGAGGGCTCTGAAGGGCTCTGAAGAGTACAGCAGAATAGCTGACATCATCACAAAGTCAGAATCACCCACATTCAGTACACAGTATATAGCTGTTTGAAAACATTATGATGTGTAGCTAAATACATTTTTGCCGCTGAAAAATCCCACCCATTTTATTACCTGCAAATGCTACGTATCAGGGAAATGATGGAGAACAGGTAATGCAGAGCTGGTGCCTGTATCTCTCGCTTGCTTGCTTGCTTTACACATACCCTTCACTTTTTTGATCTATACTGATTTGTTTGTCTATAGATATGCGATCCACAATTCGGGAGTTGCATTCACTCTAAAGAAGGTAAAATACTTGATTATGGAGTTTTATTTCAGCTAGTAGTTGTGTGGTGGGTAGCACGGAGAGCCGGTGGCCGATGTGCGTACTCTTCAGTCCAGCAGTCTGACAGAGAACATCGGCACTCTCTATGGCGCCTCAGTTGGCAGGTAATGGGATAACCACAAAAACTCCAGCTGATACGTTGCAAAGTGGAGAAAATTGCCGCAGCTCTAGCTGCCTAGTTCTAGTTCTAGAACCTTCTCAACAACAAAAAGCAACAGTGTATGATGCAAAACAATAATGGTCAAGTCATAAAATCACGCAAAATTTGCTGCAACTAAAATAATGTTCAGCTATGAAGTACATACGTAGCAGTATACTACAGGGAATTCTTAGCCCAGTCGGAATATCGACTATACTGAACTTTTCTAAGAACATATTCATTCGAAACTGCGCTGTAGGCCTGCTTCCCCCATCACTGCTTTCTTCTTTGTTTGGATGTATTGTACATGCACAGGGAGTTGCTGGCAGTGTCCTGTGAGAACTCTAGACTGGGGTTCAAGATGTCTGGTCACGTGACTAACGCCAACTACTCCGTCAAAAAGCTTCAGTTTATCCTCTTCATAAACCGTGAGTTTTCTTCCCATACCAGACCTCTCTTGATGCCTACATTAGCAGTGAATCATGTATTGTGTCTATACAAGTGCTGCGCTCCTGGTAGCCTTTATAAACTCGTGATGCCAGAGAGAGAAGTTGCGGTATGCTCTGCTGGTGAGGGCCAACAAGCCCTAAACAGCTGTCCAGAGCTCCCCATCTTTTTTCTTGGCGTCACATGGTCTAATACCTTCATGTACATTGATTACTGGCGTATTATGTCATTTATTGCACTACTTGGTATTATATTACAGTTGTTGTTTCTAGCGTCCTATGCGATGAGTAGGTACAGCGAGATAGAAGATGTCACCATTCCATACTCCAACTTTAGTCAAAGCATTAAGGATAGTTGGATCGTCTCTTTTTCCGCTCATGTGCCTACAAAAATGCGAAATCGATGACACCCTTTTATAGGGGATAGCAAAATTTGGGCAAGATAGAGATAGGTGCAGCGAGATAGAAGATGCCACCAATCCATACTCTAACTTTAGTCAAAGTATTAAGGATAGTTGGCTCGTCTGTCTTTCCGCTCATGTGCCTACAAAAAATGCGAAATCGTTGACACCCTTTTATAGGGGATAGCAAAATTTGGGCAAGATAGAGATAGGTGCAGCGAGATAGAAGATGCCACCAATCCATACTCTAACTTTAGTCAAAGTATTAAGGATAGTTGGCTCGTCTGTCTTTCCGCTCATGTGCCTACAAAAAATGCGAAATCGTTGACACCCTTTTATAGGGGATAGCAAAATTTGGGCAAGATAGAGATAGGTGCAGCGAGATAGAAGATGCCACCAATCCATACTCTAACTTTAGTCAAAGTATTAAGGATAGTTGGCTTGTCTGTCTTTCCACTCATGTGCCTACAACAAATGCGAAATCGTTGACACCCTTTTATAGGGGATAGCAAAATTTGGGCAAGATAGAGATAGGTGCAGCGAGATAGAAGATGCCACCAATCCATACTCTAACTTTAGTCAAAGTATTAAGGATAGTTGGCTCGTCTGTCTTTCCACTCATGTGCCTACAACAAATGCGAAATCGTTGACACCCTTTTATAGGGGGATAGCAAAATTTGGGCAAGATAGAGATAGGTGCAGCGAGATAGAAGATGCCACCAATCCATACTCTAACTTTAGTCAAAGTATTAAGGATAGTTGGACCGTCTCTTTTTCCGCTCATGTGCCTACAAAAATGCGAAATCGTTGACACCCTTATATAGGGGGATAGCAAAATTTGTGCGAGTACGTTTTGTTCTTTTCCTTTCAGATCGACTTGTTGACAGTGCGTCTATTAGAAAAGCCATTGAGTGTGTGTATGCCGCATACTTACCAAAGAACTCCCATCCATTCATTTACATGAGGTAAGCAACAAACAAAGAATGCGTCATCGAATAAATATTCTATAATGATGCAGTATTGAAATTGCTCCAGCTAATATCGATGTCAACGTTCACCCTACAAAACACGAGGTAACAAAACTAACGTCTGATCAGTTTATAGAACATTAGATTTTCGATTCGAAATTCGGGAGTAACGTTTGGAGTTCGAACGCTGCCAGGTTCACTTCCTGCACGAGGACGTGGTTGTTGAGAGCGTGCAGAGGGCAGTGGAGGACGGGCTGCTGGGCTGCAATGTGTCCAGAACCTACTACACCCAGGCTCTCCTGCCCACCCCAGTCTCTCTGGAGACTGGTGGGGGAAAGAAAGGAAGTGGCTCAGGTAAGTAAATACTATACCATTAGGGGACGCAACATTCAAAAATCTGACTTATAAAAAAAAATTTTGTGGCAGGGAAAGCCCATTAAATTTATAGTCTGAGAAAGTGTGTACGTATTTAAAATGTTCACTAAGGCACTATTTAGGGTTTTTATACCCTTCCGTGTAAGTTCTACAGTACACATGCTGCTAGTGGTACATGCATGTCAGCTGTGTGAGTGTCCAAGTTAGTGAACCCCACCTCTCACTGGCAGATAAGCCTTCGTATGCCTACCAGATGGTTCGTACCGACTCTAAGGAACAGAAACTGGAGGCCTTTGTCGTCCCAAGATCGCTCCAGGTTTCAGCAGCACAATCTACATTAGAACTGAGCGGAGACAGAGAGGGAGAGGGGGCAGCAGAGGTAGGCTTTGATAGGATCAGTCCTTGTTACTTCATTTAAGACTAAGTTTTGAGTCGCTAAATATGCCATTGGTTATAATATACTCAATGCCATAAGACCAGCAGATTTCGTGAGTCAAAACCTAGTCTTAAATGAAGAACGAACCACTGTTCTGAAGGTATTTGTTGATTGTAAGGAGCAGGGTGGGGTGATGGTGGAGGAGAGGGAGAGAGAAGAGGGAGGGGAGAAGATGGAGGAGGGAGGGGTTGAGGGTGTGGAGGAAGGGTCAGTGGAGTCTGAAGGGACAGCTGACCCAACTTGTGGTGGGGACTCCAAGGGAATGAGTGAGAGTGGAGCAAGTTCATCCTTCAAACTCCAAACCTCTTCTAGAGTCTCTTCATCATCAGCTAGTGGGTAAGTGTATGGGATTGGGAACAAGGCTAGAAGTATTCACTTCTGCCTCATATTATTCTATGTCCACAACACATTCAGATATTACTGTGTATATACTAACGAATTTTCTCAACATGTGATATGTGTGTCCACTTGTACATTGGTAGAGCGCTCGCCTATAAAACAGAGTGCCGTGGGTTCGAATCCCACCCAGGGCAGCTCTTCTTCTTTTCCTTGAGTTGTCCTGGGTGTAGTTGACTTGCAAGGCTTTCCCTTCCTTGCCTTTCTACCTCGCTACCTAGTTGTTGACACATACATGTGTCCTATACAGAGCCACCCAAGGGAGCTCTTCTTCTTTTCCTTGAGTTGTCCTGGGTGTGTTTGGTGTTTGTTTTTCTACCTCGCTACCTAGTTGTTGACACATACATGTGTCCTATACAGAGCCACCCAAGGGAGCTCTTCTTCTTTTCCTTGAGTTGTCCTGGGTGTAGTTGACTTGCAAGGCTTTCCCTTCCTTGCCTTTCTACCTCGCTACCTAGTTGTTGACACATACATGTGTCCTATACAGAGCCACCCAAGGGAGCTCTTCTTCTTTTCCTTGAGTTGTCCTGGGTGTGTTTGGTGTTTGTTTTTCTACCTTGCTACCTAGTTGTTGAGACATGTACAATATACATGTGTCCTATACAGAGCAGGTCTGTTGCAGAGTTTCAGTAGAAAGAAGTCTCGAAGGAGGGAAGTCAATTTCACTAGTGTTCTCAACTTCCAGCGGGCCATCCGGACCAACCAACACAGAGGTAGGTATGTATAAATAGCGGGAGACTTCTGAGGCCGAAAAATTCTCAGTTCATTGGAAAATTTTTCCGGAGGAACCCAATGTAAAATTTCCCCCACCCACCAAATTTAACAGAGAAACCCTTCATGGATGGCTCTAAAATTATTTTCACCTATAATTATGTGATTATCTACATTAGATCTGACAGAATTGTTTCAGAATCACAAATTTGTTGGCTGTGTGGACCAGACCCGGGCTCTCATACAACATCAGGTACGTACGCTCCGTAAAATATACCACTTTTGACATTTTTTATAGATCAGTTTTTAAAAACTTTTTCAGACAAAGCTGTATTTGGTAGATCTCTCAAGAATAACGTGAGTACATAATTATAGTAGCTTCGTTAATAATCACTCTAAAATGCCACTGTACGTCTTAATGATGAGAGTGCTGCTACATACATAATTTATCCGCAGGAAGGAGCTGTTCTCCCAACTGGTCATCTTTGACTTTGCCAATTTTGGAGTTTTGAAACTATCGGTAAGGCTAAACACCCACAATGTGAGGCACAAAACGTTTCATTTCTGTACAGCCAGCAGCTCCGGTGTTTGACCTGGTGAAGCTGGCCCTCGAGCTCCCTGAAAGTGGTAATAAGAGTAATATTCGCACTAGATTGCAGGGGTTAACTGCCTTATGAACTGACAGAATGGACACCGGAACATGGGTCTAAGGAGAAGATAGCACAGGTATACATATTCCTCTGTCAAACTATATAGTGCTACTGTGAGCTGTTGTTTAGTACGTTGAAGATGTCATGAAGGAAAATGCAGAAATGCTGAAAGAGTACTTCTTCATCGACATTAGAGAGGTGATGCAATATCATCGGTGATCTAGCTGATTAATTCTGAATAATGGACACCTTGGGTACATTTTTATTCAGAGGATTCTTTATTCATAGGTGTCCCTTAGTCAGGGGCAATAACCCTAGTATGGGGCAGAGCCAAGTGTCCTTTATAGAGGAATGAACCAGCTAGTGTGTCCATTTTCTGAGGTTTCTCGGTAATAGGGTATAATTATAATGTTTTGACTGCAGGATGGGTTGCTGTACTCCCTGCCACTGTTGCTTAGTTCATTCTCACCAAATCTCGATCGTCTTCCTCTCTTCATACTCCGACTAGCCACTGAGGTATATATGATGTATATATTATAGCCACCAGCAAAACGGCTACATGTTATATATAGCCATGCACACTACAATATGTTTCATTCATTGATCTCTCTGTCTTGTTGTTCAGAATGCACTTCTGTTCAGGTGAATAATTTCTCTGTGGGGAATCCTCAACTTTTCTTCACGAAAACGGAGGGCCTTTAATTAATAACCAAAAACCAAATTCTGTGTGAAAGCAAATTTCCAAGCTTCGAGAAAATGGCATAGATTTAGACAAAGTTCACTTTCGTAAGTTGTGGGGATGTGTTTCGTATGTACGTAGGTTAACTGGAAGACGGAGAAGGAATGTTTCCAGACATTGGCCACCGAGTTTGGGTTGTTTTACGGTCTACAGCATGATCCATTCCTACTGGACAGCTCTGAGGAAGAAACCAGTGGAGTTGGGGGAGAGGGAGGGAGGAGGGGAGACAGGGAAGGGAGGAGGGGAAACAGGGGAGGGAGAAAAGAAGGAGTGAGTGGGGAGGTCCCAAAGTCACTGTACAAGAAACAGCCGTGGAGGTGGACAGTGGAACACGTCATTTTCCCGGCTCTGCGAGCGAATCTTGTAGCTCAGAAGAACATGGCGACAGACGGGAGTATTCTGCAGATAGCAGACCTGCACGACCTCTATAAGGTCTTCGAACGTTGCTGAACAACCACCCAGTTAAACGTATTCATCATTCATCATCTGAATCATTCACATTATGTCACTCGTGACACATTCGTATGCCACGCTGCTTATCTATACATACTAGATCTGCAAAGAACGCAGACAGAAGGGAGGGAACACTTTTTCAGCGACCCTGGTGATCAGATGGAGTCCAGCGGTACCTCCAGCTCCGATGAAGAAGTCAGGTTGCTGTCTGCTGGCAGCAAACTGCCCGCTCGAGCCACCACCGGTGTATCGCGGGTCAAGACTTGGACCACGCGAGTCACTATCGCCACGTTCTTCCTGGTCGTCGGAATAGAGTATAGCGTCATCTTCCCGACTCTGTGGGACTACCTGCGAGGGAAGGGCGGCGAGGAGTGGATGTACGGTCTTTCTCTGGCCGCCTTCAGCATCTCTAACCTGGTCACGGGTCCGCTGTACGGTGTAGTCTTCGACATGACTCATCAAACTAAGCTGATAGTGCTCGTAGCCACCCTCTTCGAGATTGGAGGTAATTTGCTAGCTCTGCGGGATCAGGGGTGTTTACGTATCCATCAGGGGAGTTAGTAAACATAGCTACTGGCTGTCTCTGTTCGTGCAGGAAACTTCATGTACTTTTCAGCAACGTCCAAGTATATGATCGTAGGGAGCCGGTTCATTGTAGGTGAGCAATGACAGATGCATGGGTTTGTTTTATTATGGCACAGGATGTAAATGTATAGGGGTGGGCATTGAATTGCAATCTACACTACATTGCTCGTAAGTTATATGCGTCTGCCAAGCAAGGGGAGGGTTTGACTGGTAAGTTGCCATGATTTCTAAGCTTTGCTTTGTAGCAGATCGTGACAACACCAAGAAACATGGAACGTCAGGGATCGTGACAAACCATGTTCTCATTGGGCGAGTGGAGCAATCTTGATGTCTTCAACAGCTCCTCATACACATACATGCTCTCTGTGCACGCTATAATCCTCTACATGCTACAGGTCTGGGTGCGGGGGCTGGTGCCACTCTCTATGGGGAGCTGGCCAGAATATCTACCAAGGAAGAGAGGACCAAAGTCTTCGCGATATTCTCCACCTTCAGACAGATTGGATTGATATTTGGTAGTATAATTCCCGTTTGCATGAATGTCTAGAAGTGGTGTGTTTCCTCCGTAGGTCCAGCCTTTAATCTTGTACTGCGTCTACTGCATGTGGATATGGGACCGTTTGTCCTCGACAGACTAACAGCTCCGGGGGTAAGCCAAAATTCAACCTGTTTCAATCTACAAACAAGCCGGTTAACTAACAAGTCCACCAGGTCGTCTAAATTGTGCTATGTCCACAGTACTTTAAAATAATTATGTGTGCTCATGTTCACTCAGAACATTCGCAATCGGCAGCCATAGTGCTGGGACCATAAGTTGTGCCTTCCAAAACAGTACATACCTCACAGACACCTAGATTTACCACCGCTTCTATCATTCCAGATGATTGAGTTGATTTTTGACTATAATAATCTTTCTGCAGGCACTTATGACAGTCATCTGGGTCGTCATAGAGATAATGTTTCTGTTCATGTTCTACCAGCTGCCATCAGCTATCGAGCCTATGGTGGTTGAGAACAGCAGTGTTAATGGAGATCGTAACAGAAACACTTCATCCCATCAAACTTCCAGCAGAGATAAAGAAGAAAGTGGAAAAGCAGGGCTGTTAGTGACACTCGGACCGAAACCAACTGACAAGAAGAAAAGTCTTGCAAAGAGTGCAGTTCGGTTGAGTTCAAACGCCGGGGAATCCAGCCCGCTACTGAGGGATCCTCAAAAAACGCCAAACTACTCTGTCAACAGAGGTGGCTCAGTGGCTGGTGCAGGTAGAGAGGGACGGGCTAAGGGACCCAAAGGTAGAGCCTACGTCAAGTACGTGGTGTCGCAGATGGTCAAAGAAGAGATCGTGGTTCTTCTGTTTGTCCTGTTCATCACCATTTATACCCAGATGGTCTTGGAGGTGTGTGTGTGTGTGTGTCTCTCTATATGTGCATTTGTTTGTGTAACAGTCAGGGAGAAGCTAAACACAGGGATAAGCTGACATTCTTAGTGGCAAAGTATATAGCAGTTAGAAATCTGCATACTTGAAAATGCATAACCAAGCAGGAGTCCCAGCAAATGCAATGTACATATTTTGTACCCAATGCCTCCTCTTTTACCTCTATCCTTTTTCTGTGCCATCTTTAGACCATGTTGGTTCCAATAGCAGAGTCAATACTGGACTGGACTGAGACAGAAGTCAGCATATTCTACAGCTGTGCCGGCATCGAGGTGAGCATCACCTGACAATCACATGACTATCATACATTTTCTCTCTTACCCCTAGCTCATAGTGGCTATATTTGCCGTGTACATCATAAGCATCTGGCTTGGAGACAGGTATAATTATGATAATTTCTACCATCATATCATAATTTGAATTCGTTACAGGTGGATCATGCTGTTAGGATTGTTTCTTAGTCTTGTATCATTTGTATGGCTGTTGGGATTCACGGGCTCAGGAAGAAAAGGTACGACGTAATTATGATTTTGGTTTTCATGCTTTACTACTTGTTTTTTGTGCTCTCGGTGTGGTCTTAGTTTCAGGAGTGGAGTGGAAGTTTGTGCTGGGGTGTGTTCCGTTGATTTTTGGACTTCCACTCAACTTGGTGGCGGGGGCATCTCTTTACTCCAAACTCCTCCCCATGCCTGTCCAGGGTAACGCCTCCCTTATGGTTCTATATATGTTGGTTTTAGCAAGTTAACTTGTGGCAGTTACATAACGTTAGAACTAAGCAATATTAGCAACAATTACGATTTTATGGAGTGTGGCGTATGTAAGGGCTAAATTTAGTAGAACTAAGCAGTAAGGCCCAGTGCAATGAAGTTTCCGTTTTTAGCAACAATTTCGATTTTATGGAGTGTGGCAGTATGTGTAAGGGCTAAATTTAGAAACGTTACTAAAGATAGAACTTAACAATAGGGACCTGTCCAAGAGTGCATGGGAGTTTCTCCTTTTTTATGCTGTCAAATTCACTTTTGTGTTTGGTTTGTTCTGCAGGTATTGGACAAGGTTTCCGACGGTCTATGTTCTCAGTTGCTGCCATCCTAGGACCTCTTTGGGCAGGTAGTGCTCTCGCCTTCCGGACCTACTACGTGCTACTAGGTGTTCCTGTCGCACTGCTTGCCTTTGTAATGGTTAGCTAAAACTTATACTGTTTTATCCACTGGACTTACTACCCCCTTCATTACAGGTCCTCGTCTTCCTATCATTTGTGAGACTAAAGGAGCCTAGGAGAGGAAGAAATATTCTCTTTCCATAGTACTATTGTGTGTGTGTCTATTAAAAGTAACATGTTATGTCATTCTGTCACTGTGTCCATCCTATTTATAGGCTATTTTTAGTAACATGTGCAGCGTTAATAATATTAATCTCTGCGCAAAAGTGGCCAGAAATTCTCCCTTATCGAGTCATAATATCTTTTCTGACTTATGTAGATTGAAACCGTGTTTTGTGTGATCCGTTTCGTATAGTCCAGCTAGTGATGCGCCTGCGCAATTCGACAACTTTCTTCTGACTTTTCAATGTATTAAATCATCGAGATGGATTAGATGACAACGATTTATGTGCAGCATGTTAGTCCTCTCTTTTTCTTGTCGGTCCTTGTGAGTGCAACAGTGGTTGGCCTCAGGCTGGTTCCACCGTAGTAGCTTGGATTCCTCAACTTCTCTTCCTTGTGAATATCCCTCAAAGACTTGGCCAGCTGGGAGAATAGCTGGTCAATGTTGCTCGAGTTCTTAGCCGATGTCTCCATGAAGGGGACGCCACGCTCGCGAGCAAACTCCTCTCCTGATTTAGTCAGGACTTCACGATCTATGCGGTCACTCTTATTCCCAATGAGTACGCGGTACACCTGCTTCCCGGCGTATCTCTCAATCTCTTCCAGCCATTCTGGAAGGCTGCGGAAGGTGTCCAGTGAACTGATGTCGTAGACAAGGACGATGGCGTCTGCACTACGATAGTAGCTCTGTGTGATGGTTCTAAACCTCTCCTGGCCAGCCGTGTCCCATATCTGGAGCTGAGGTAAAGGAGGAGGTAAAGGTAAAAGAGGGATAATAGCAAATGTTTTACAAGTATAAATCCAAAAAATGCAAATTTTTCTAGATCTGGGGAGAAATAATGATTTTGTGATGTGCATCATTGTTGTTGGTGAAGTTTTTTTGTGTATGTATACCTTCACTGCATTGAGATCCACTTGCAGTGTTTTGATGCAGAAGTCGACACCAATAGTGGGCAGGTTGTCGAGATGAAAATCTCCTCTTCGTATCGTTTGACGATGCTGGACTTCCCAACCCCGCTGTCTCCTATGAGAACAATTTTGAAAAGGTAGTCGTATTCTGGATCCATGTTTTTGGGGGGAAGTTTGTAGCTAGTGTAATACCTATGGATGATTTTTTGTCTTTTATAGTGCGTCTATTACAACACTTTTGCTGGGTAATGCAATGCACATGACCGGACTTGCACATGAAACATGAACGTCAAAAGCAAAAACGTGGCGAAGGCTATTTTTAGCGCCAAGAATTGCGTCATTGACATTGCTGAAGTGCGCATGCGCGTATGCCCCCACATTACGTAATTACATCAGCGCGTGGTTGACAACCGCACAAGGAAAAATGGCGGAGACGAGTTACGACCCACAGAAGGTCCAGGCCATTTTACAAGACTACTTGGAGACTCTGGAAGTCCTTACCATCAACTCGAAGCCGCTCATAAACGACTTGACGATGGCAGCCGACCGATACAAGCCGTTGGCGGCCCAGATAGTGGGAGTGATCGAGTCTCGTTTGTTCGAGGTGCCGACCGCCGTCTCCCTTTTCGTGTCTAGAGTTGTGTGTTTGTATTACTGTATGTTCATTCTCTTTGGTACTTTTGTTGTACACGGTGTGTGCGTGTGTGCTGGCCCGCGGGAAGAAGGCGATGAACGAGTGCACGTGAGTGGCATGGCGGAGAGCGCGTGTCTCGTTCACATATCGCTTCCCGTCGCGTCCCACACGCTATGCGAGACGTTTTTACATTTCTCACTCGTTCAAATGAATCAATGTGAAAAAGAATAAAGAAGAGAAAGCTTGGCAAGGTGGCAACTTCAAGCCTCCATTCCGTTCCGAATATCCAGGTCTCGGTGAACCAGAAGCTGCCACTGCTCTATCTGTTGGACTCTATTATGAAGAACTTGAAGGGTCGATACATTGAGGTCATCAACACGAAAGTGGTGGCCATTTTCTGCCACTGCTTCGAGAAGTTGGTACGTGTGTATGTGGCCACCTATTAGGGGGTGTATGTGTGTGTGTTTGGTGGGTGGGTGGAGAGAGGGTTGAGCGAATTGGGGTGTAGGTAATAGTAGTAAGGGTAAATTGTATGGCATGTCTGTGAATTTTGCTCGAACGCTTGAATTCATGTGCTGTGTATGAATTGACCTGTGTTTAGAGGTGGCTATTAGAGGTGGCCTTTGTATGGGACTGTAATGTGAAAGGGTCTTGTGTAAATAATTATATTATACATCTAATGTACTCTTACAAGGCCACCCATAGTACTAACAGTCTGTCCCAGCCCTCCCTAGTAATAAGGAACACCTCACATCCCCCTTCTATAGCTACAATGGTAGGCATTTTAGCGGGCGAGAACTACATACATAGCACAGCACCCGTGCAACGTTTTGTCTTTGCACGGAGTACACTACCAGTAACATGCGCTGTTGTACGATGTACTGATGTACGAACACCTCACACGCTGTTTAGACGGCTCACTCCCACTTGCCAATTCTTGTTCCTCTATGTCACGCTGGACTGCATCGTTCCTCCTTAGACTGACCCCAAGACCAGGATATCTCTGTACAGACTCCGACAGACGTGGAATCCCTTCATCGTGAAGAAGAAGCTGGCGGCCATCGATAAACACGTCCACGCCCTCGATCCCAACTGGCCGGTGACAGCCACAGTCACTGCTCCCACGAGTCCTACCATACACGTGAATCCTGACTTCCTACCTGTTAGTACTGCTGTATGTAGTACTGTGGGTTTTGAGAAAACTATGTGAATGAGCAGGAAATGGGAAGTAAATTTTTTGTGAATTGACAGGAAATGAGTGACAGAATTCCAATTGCGTATGTATGTGTGTAGGAACATCAAAGAGAAGGTTCACACTGTGAATGAGATTAATTTCTCTCCCTCTCTTCTCCCTCTCTTCACACCACACCCCCCTACAGAAGGGCATGCTACAGTGTTCATGTGTATATTTGAAATTTAGTACGAGAGGTTCCTATAATGAACAGAAGGTACACTTTTCTCTCTCCGTTCCATCCCTCTCCCGTCTCCCAGGCTGGTGAAAAGGGAGGGAAGGTGTTTTCGTCTTCTTTCACCAACTCCACCTCGTCATCTCAGGCCTCCACCGCAGCCGGTGGCAGCTCTGGACTCCAGTCCAGTCGTGCCAAGACAGCTCCCGCCAAAGAGGTAAAATGATCCTGTGCCTGGTTCATGACTAGAACATGTGATGATAACTACACAATAATCTCTAAATACCTGGGCGAAAATTGAACTACTTGTGTTTGCGCATGCCAAAAATGTATAATGATGGTTCCTGTCATGCCGACGCACACCAGCAGGTGGCTCCTCCCTCAGCCCCGACGTCGTCGACGACGACGGCTCCAGTGACTCTGGAACAGAAGAGAAAGAATGTTCTGGAAGCCATGAAGAGAAAGAAAGAGGCGCTCCTGGCCAAAGGATCGACGAGTGGGTCAACAGTGTCCACTCAAAAGCAGGGCACGGGGTCTTCGGCTGACTCTGGGAAACCCCCTCCCGTTAGGAACTCATCACTAGCGGTATGCTGAAGTCTGAAACTTTTCTTTCTGTTTGGAAGCATGCAACGTGCGATTTTTGAAATATAGGTTGTTGCATTTTATATTGTGGGACAAGGAATCCACGAAACTCTTCGTGTTTTTCCCCAATGAATGTGGCCAACTATTCATACAGTAGAAGTCAGTGAAGAAGTAGTATTGCGTACTGTACACGAAGCAACCAAATTACATTTCCTGCGTGTTTATAGTTGCACAAAAGTGCTTTTAATATTTTTCTAAGTTTTCTAAGTTTTTTCTCGAAATGGGTCATTAGCTCTTCCCAGTGTCTCTATGTGTTTGTGTTTGTTTTTATGCTATAAGAGTGTACATGCGTGGTGTTCTGTGTGTCCAGGACCCGCGGAAGAAGGCACCACTAGCTGGCTCTAGTGGCTCCACGAGGCTCCAGAGGACTCCGCCAGTCGCCGAGACACGCAGGGGGAAGAAGAGATCGTTGCACAGTCCTCGCAGACCTCTCTCCTCTCGCTCCTCTCTCTCTCCTGGTGCGTAGCAATAATAAGTGTATGAAGGAATGCCATCATTCTATATATGAGATGAGACACATCCCCCACCTTTATTCCTTTTGTTGGGAAAATATCTGTTTCTTGAATCCCGAGAACGAATGTTGTACCACATAAAAAATAGTGCGTGTCTGGGTGCATGCGTGTGGGGCAACAAATGTTAGGCCCTGAAACTCAGTTTTGCTTACTTGCAACGAAAATTTAATAAACCCTCTATTATACAGTATTGCATACATGTACATACACATGTATATACATACATGACAAAGGTACTTATTACTGTTAATTAAAGACTGACTTCTTCCAACGCAGACTATGACTCAAAGGTAGATGGCAGAAAACGAGCAAAGGTCTCCTCGCGTCCCCGCAGTGCTAGCCCCACCCCTCAATCATCCGCTCGTCAGAACAGACATGGGGAGAAGGAGGAGGGGAGGGGGGGAGGGAGGAAAGATGGAGGTGGGCTCGGCGAGATTTTGAAGGGGCTGGATATCACTAGTCTCATGGGCAGCATTCAGAGAGTGAAGGAGCAGACAGAGGGTGACAGAGCTTCTCCTGCTAAAGAGGAAGACCCCAAGGTGATGATGTAATGTTACTATATTAAGACATTCTATCACACTGTTGCTATATTTACAGGTTGATGAGCCTCCACCAGAGAAGAAACCAAAACTGGACAATGATGTAATTGCCTCGGCCCCTACCTTGTCAGCACATAAGGAAGTGGGCGGAGCCAGAGCAGAAGTGGGTGGAGCCACACTTTTGGCCGAAGATGAAGATGGGATCCCGGCAATAAAGAGCTCTCATTTGGATCTCGACGACATTCCGATGGAACTTCTTCCAACTCACCAGGAGAAAATCATGAAACAGGTCTGTATCATTATAAGACCATCGTTATGTACAGTAACAGTTGAACCCCTCTAATCCAGACACCAATGAGACAAAAGAAAGTGTCTGTATTAGTGACGTGTCTTTATTTTAAGGGTTGAAACCTTGGGGAAGTGTGAATGTGTCTTATATTACAAGATTTTCTTATTTCAGGTTAGACTGGGGTTCCTATATAATTATACACACACCAGCTTGTAGATTGACGTATTCATTAGGAAAGATAGACAAGATGTTTTCCCATGGTAATGGTCCTAAAGGACCTGTTTTCTCTTGTGAATTAGCATGTATAGCCTACACTGATCCTTCCCTGTAGGTTGAGAGGCAGCTGAAATCAGGTCGTCTGCATGTGAATTAGCATGTATAGCTAGCTACACTGATCCTTCCCTGTAGGTTGAGAGACAGCTGAAATCAGGTCATCTGCATGTGAATTAGCATGTATAGCTAGCTACACTGACCCTTCCCTGTAGGTTGAGAGGCAGCTGAAATCAGGTCGTCTGTCAGAGGAACAGCACTCCACTCTGGTGAAGCAGTTGGACCAACTCTACGCCCTGCAGAGGAAGAAGGAGAACGGAAGAGAAGGCAGAGGCGCTGATTCACCGGCCGACCGGAGGAAATCTCCCTCCCCTCCTTGCACTAGTCAGACTGATCACCCCTCTGACTCTCACAGATCATCAAATCACCTCCCACCATCTCCCCCCTCCTCTGTACCACCACCCACCCTATCAGATACCAATTTACCTCCTCCCTCTCCCCCACACTGCTCTGCACCACACATCGTAGACCGTCACCCACACACGCACCCACAGCACGCAGAACTCCCCTCCCCCACGAGACAGGTACCCCCCGCCACGTCAGTTCCCTCAGGATTACCCCCCCAGAGGTCCCCGCGGCGGCCCCCGACTATTTCGGGGAAGGGGACCCGGTAGAGGTCGGCGACCTTACGATCGCCACCCCCACCCTCTCCCCCCGTCAGGGCGGGGGGCTGCAATTGACTGGTATGGGCAGGGGCCGCCCCCCGAGAGGGGTAGGGGAAGAGGGCACGAGGGGAACCCTGAAAATGTTAACTACCCACAGAATCAAGGTTAGCGCATGCAGTTCATTGGTGTATGGTGTTCTTGCCCCACTGGTAGACACTATTCTATACAATAGGTGGATGTGCAGTAGTGGGTCATGATACGTTGTGTGTATTGAGCCTAGAATTAGATTGTAGGGGGATGGTTTCACTGATCGTCAACCGGTTTTCACAAATAGCTGGTTGTACTGGTCATTTTGTATGTGTTTGACTATGCACACAAACTGGTTTGACTGGTTCTGCTGGCAGGTAATACAGGTAGCAGTGGGGGCAGCGACCCGACCAAGCTGTTCGGCAAGTTGGTTGAGATGGGTTTCATCAAGGAGGAGGGGGAGGGGCCTCCACGAGAGGAGGAAGGGGGTGGGGCACCTCGGCAGCCACAGGGGGCGGGGCCACCAGACCAAGGCGGACCTCCTCCTCCGTTTGCAATCCCCAAACTCACCTTCACCGTGGCTACACTCAAAAAGTAAGTCAATATTCTGAAATACGAACTGCTTTCTGTTTTACAACATCAATTAGCCACTAGATTGCCTTGTTACACTACTGTGCTCACTGACCATGTACTGCGTTCACTTCATGTTGACCCAGGGTAAGGCCTAAAAGGACCATGTACTGCGTTCACTTCATGTTGACGCAGGGTAAGGCCTAAAAGGAAGTGAAAAGGATGTAGACAAGAACGATGTGCAATCGAAACCCCAACGTATGTTGTGTCTGCCCGTCTATAGACACGAGATGTGAGGTAGCATTATTATAAACTAGTCACAAGGTGTCAGGTACACAGGAAGTCTGGGGGTAGGGAGGATGCCAAGCAGCCACAAATGACTCTGGCTTTGCTCCAAAAGTCTCCTGTAATTGCTGCTAGTCTGTGTCTAGTGGCGACATGACAACAGCGCAGGACTGTGTATTTTGAATGTTTACTCTTTGGTTTTGCTTCATTGACTCGGCCTAGCTTTGCTAAATTACACTGGGTTACCAGGTCTGGTTTGAATGGAGGGCAAACAACATGTGTGCCCTTTGTCTTGATCGACTTTGACACCGTGTTACACACAGTGTCACACTACCTGGCTGTGTGTTGAATGATGTGATCTAATACTTGGAACCCAGTCACCCTGCTTGTCACCATTACCTAGTGGTACCACCTTGTCCCAAGATGTCTACAGATCATACCGACTCGGTCTGGTAATTTTAAAAAAAATCTGATACATCTGATGGTAGCTGAGGTCACTACTGCTACGTATATATATACGAATTGGCAGAACCTTTCCACTCTACTGAGTTGCACATGACTGTCGGGGAAACACGTGAATTTCGCAGTCTCTGTAAAAGATTAAGACTCTTCTCATTTTACAAATCTTTTTCTCCTTCACAATCTCCCCGCTAAGCATTTGTGTGGTTACCATGTACGTCTGACTATTGAAGAATTCAAAGAGTTTTTGTTTAATATGTATTCATTGGAATTTTTGTGTCGATGTTGATTTGTTAACACACTTGGGATCGCGAAATAGGATCCATTGTAACCTTGCCCAACAATGCACTAATGCTTCCAGGCATACAGTATCTGTGCTACACATTGCCATCATCATCATTCGATGCTATTTTCCCCAGGCCATACTCTTCACTGGTTCACCTAATGTACATGGGTGACCCGTGTGCCACGTGTGGGCTGAGATTCAGAGACCGGAGCACCCAGAATTACAGCAGCCACCTCGACTGGCACTACAAGATGAACAGTCGAGACAAGACACTCCAGAGACCCAGACACTGGTTCCTACATCCTGAGGTCTGGTTCTCATACCACCTGGTCTGGTTCCTGTACCGTGTATTATACATACCTGGTCTTGTTCCTGTACCATGTATTTTACCTGGTCTGGTTCCTGTACCGTGTATTTTACCTGGTCTGGTTCCTGTACCGTGTATTATTCCTGAAGTTAGTCTCTTCTTTTTCTTCTTCTTCTTCTTCTTTTTCTGCTCTTCTTTTCCTTTCTCTATCAGGACTGGATCAAGTTCGAAGAGAGTATGGCAAATGAAGAAAACAGAGGTATGTACATGAACACATTATACATATATACACCTAAGAATTTAGTTGCCAGCACTTAATGCTCTTACATTACTCACATAGCTAGGACTTCACGAGTGAGTAAAAGTCAATGGACCCGAATTCTATATAACACGGATTACATGCATTGGTACATGCAGTAATTGAGTGTACTCTATTGTCTTGCTGCATAATGGTCACTGTCCCACACAGAGCCTCTGGTACTGGAGCGAGAGGTGGAAGGGATGGAGGAAGGAGGGGAGGGGGAGGGAGGGTTGGAAGATGGCCAAGAGAGCAGCTGTCAGGTCCTCCCTGGAGAGGAGGCTGAGGTAAGAGACATCGTAAGTGAAGAGACATGTTACACACTATCAGGGTTTTAGCCAGGGAGCAATTAAAGGAGGGGGAGTCGACTGACCACTTGCCACACATTCACTTCTAAAAGACCATATATGTACCCTGCACACATTTGCCTTAAGTATAATGTACACTTCTGTAAAGCAGGGAGAAAGGAGGAAGGGGGAAGAAAAAAGGAGGGTAAACCCCCTGCTTCCCTGCTTTAGCTAAAACCCTGACTGTGGTTCAGATCACCTGAACCCCTGAACTTGGTACACCATACATAGGTGCATGCGTAGTGGGGCCCTGAACTCCATGTAATGTAGGTCCATGTATAAGTTGGTATGTGGTTGGAGGAAATGTGGGGACGGTTTGGCCTTTATCTCTTGGCTTCTGTGTTGTGTGAAGCCACTCTGTGGCCTGACAGTGAACCTACGGTGCACGTGTGTGTGTGTGTGTGTGTGTGTGTGTGTTATCAATGGAGTTCCTCCATCACCCCACGTTATACACATTAACGTGTTGGGTGTCATCAAACTAGGCTTTATAGTGAGCTCTCTAGAACACTCTGAGTGTAAAACACAAAAGGCTTTATGGTACGTATTATGAATAGCTGGCCCCTGTGTACACAACATGCTGGTATAGTGAAATTGAAAAAGCAACAACATAAGGTTTCTAGCCCCTGTGTTACTGTACATATGTACTCTCCATGTGGTCATGATGAGTCATAGTGGGGTTCAACACATTAATTTGATAGTGGGCCCAGCTGGCACCCTTAGCAAGGAATGCACACAATGATTAACCTTCTCTCAGGTTGAGTTCTTTCCTGGCCATATGTATGTATATGTGTATATACTAGTGTTGAGCGGTGGAGGCATGCTGTCTGAGTTACGTTAACAACCATTACTTGAATGACACGAGTTGTAAGGATCAGGTCACAGTGTTTTGAGAGTACACTCCTCACCCTCTTATTCTTTTGTATCTCCGCCTTCTATTTCCATCTCTCTCTTGTCTCCCCCATTCTCTCTGCCTCTTTCTCTTTCCCCCCTTTCCCCCTCCTCCCTCCCTCCCTCACATAATCTACACATGCAGGTGTGCACAATATGTGCAGAGCAGTTTGAACAATTCTGGGAAGAAGAGCTTGAAGAGTGGCATTTCAGAGAAGCCATTCGCCACGAGGGAAAGGTAGTGAGCACCCAATGGCTGTTCCTGTATATTATACACTTGCAGTATATACTACATGTTTGTTTGACGTTTCTTTCCACGTGTACCATGAACTACGCTAAACTGCGGTGTTTTTGCACGGCACTCATTTTATGGCAAAAGAAAACATTTCCTCTTGTGAAAGAAAGCCACATAAACTCGGTGTGCTGTTTATTTACTGGAGTGTGTGGAACCTCACATGTGTCCTGCACAGAACTCACACATCTGGTTTGTTTGGCTGTTTTAGATAACAGGCTTGTTTTACGAAGTTACGCTAGGCGCTACGGTGCGTACTGTAAGAGTTGCGCAGTCCCGCATAATGTAACCAGTGAGTTGCTGCGTTCTAACTTTGCCTAATATCACCTGCAGAGGAGTTTGCTAGTGCTAGTGGTTCTGTTTATTTGTGTTCACAAAGATTCAATAGTATACACAGTGCGGTGCCTACTGTGACTTAGTAGTAGTGGAGACACATCCTGCCCCCTTGCCCACTGTAGTCTCAGTGAAAGGGTCTTCCAGCTACAACTCAAAGAACTTCCTTCCTCTTCCTTTCACCTGTAACCACCGTGGGAACACTCATACATCCATTCTTCATATGCCCACTACCCTTTTGTCCCAAAGCTTTCCCGATATGAACAACTTTATTTCATGCACCTAGCTATGTGTAATACATACACAAATAATTCTACCTGCTATCAATACTCTGTGTGATACTGCTATCAGATTTAGAATACATAAAGTGTGGCCTTGTTTTGTATGTATATACGTATGTACCTTTCCCCCTATTCCCCTCTCTCCCCTCTCTCTTTTCCCCCCCTCTCTCCTCTCTCTTTCCACCCCCTCTCCCCTCTCTCTTTCCACCCCCTCTCCCCTCTCCCCTCTCCCCTCTCCCCCAGCTCTACCACACCTACTGCTACCAGGATGCCAAAGAGGTACGTATACACTAACTGGACTATAATACACACACACGTCACTGCTACACGTTCTCCACTTGTCTTGTCAGCCACCAGTAAACATTGTCACCATGTTTCAAACAAACATGCGTGGTGTTCCATGTATATATGCACGTGTGCAAGAAACTATGGCGAGGAGGTGGTAGATTTGTGACAGTGGACACAATACTACTACGAGTGGTATTATGTTCATATGTGAGAAGTCTTTACCAGTGGTAGCACAAACACAATATACAACCCTCAATTGCCATGATGTATGTTCCTACAGTTGTAGCATACACCGGAACCCCTCCAATCCAGACAACAATGGGGCCTAGAAGAAAGGGGCCATTATTAGTGAGGCATCCCTAATTGAGGGTCAGAGGAAGTTTTCTTTGGGAAAGGAAAGGTGTCCTGGTTGAGAGGTGTCCTCGTTTCAGGGGTGGCCTTAGAGAAGGGTTCCTTAGAGAGGGGTGGCCTTGGAGAGGGGTTCCACTGTCCTGTACATTAATGCCAGTATAATACTGTTAGAAGGCTTGCCACTCTAGCTGACTAGAGAGTGGGCTGAAGTATGACGTGCTGTTAGCAAACTCACTTGGAATGGTAGCAATTTTCCTGGAATATGGCATGTTATGGGGAGAGGTAGAGAGAGGTATGTATATACTGTCATCATTTTTTCTCTGAAATGGGGTGGTGCTGTTCTGGAGAGCCTGTAATTAATAATTTTAGTGGAACCTCTCTAATTGAGACACAAATGGAACAGAAAAAGGTGCTGGTATTAGTGAGGTGACCTTATTTCAGGGGTTGCAAGAACTGTTCTTAGAGAAAGGTGTCCTTAGTAGAAAGTTGTCTTCAGTTCAGGTGCCGGTAGAAAGGGATTTTGCCATTGTATCTGGAGTGAAAATTTGTAGAGACTGTTACTGTCCAGTCTCAATGACCTAAAATTTCCCCATGTGAAATCGCTCAAGTGTGTTTTAGCTGTGACTACTGTTTGTTTATGCCAGCGGTGCTGTGTGTGTTGTGGCACGAAGCTAATCATCGTTCATCCGTTGGGTTGAAACAGGTACGGTCATGAGGAATGGAGCATGAGCTGCCTTGTGGCGTACTGTATCTATGTATGTAGTCACTGGTGTGCAAATCGTAGCTGTTAGCGACACCAATGCGTGTGCGCGCGCAAGAGATGCTTTCGTTTCGAGCGATCAAAGTAGCGAAGGGACACTGTTGTCATGGATTTAGGCGTGTACCGGCTACACAGGCAGCTGTGTCGCCGAACAGCTGTGACAAGCTTTCTTGCATTTGAGTCCGGTGGGGCTGAAAGAAGAGTGTTTTGCTGACGAACACTGATGCTACAGACAGTGTATGAAACACGACTGTCTCCTATGCATTAGCCAGCCCACTGCCATACTCCATATTGGTCTGGAGGAGGCCCTAAATTGGGTCATCGTTCATACCAGTATCGTTGTTCAGGTATAATCAGGGGCGAACCCTCCAATCAGGACACTAACTAGATGAAACCAATAGTGATGTATGTTTACCATCAAAGGTTAATGTGCTTGCAAGAAATGTTCTGGTCATTCAGCCATAATTATAACCAGCCCCCACGCGTTTCCTTGACTACCTATACACTGGAAAGGAAGTTGGAGTGGTTCTGTTGGTGGGTAGTGCTAGTTGTGTGGGTCGTGTGCGGTCGTGCAGACAGAAAAGAATGTGTGAATTAGCCCACATTGAAAGTTTGCCTGCCTCCCAGGGACTTTTGTTTGAGTCCCAAATGCACCGGCCCCTCCTCTACCCTGTAGCACTGCTCACTGCTTGTTCTTAGCTCATTTACTGAATTTATACCAAATGTGTGTGTGTGTGCTATAGTTACAAAATGTGTACTTGGAAAATGCACAAGGACTTCTTCATTGACTCTGATTATCCTTGTCAAATTCTTATGTTTTAACGCACACGCACGCATGCACACACAGTCAGGGGAGTTGGATAAGTCACTACAGCAGCCAAGTCCAGTGGAGACCGACCAAAAGCCATTAGCTGTAGCTTGTGAGATAGCAAACTGAATTTCTCTCCTTCCAGTCTTTCTCCTCTCTCTCTCTCTCTCTCTCTTTTCTCTAACTGTGCATCTCTGTATTCTTGTCTGAAATTCAATTATTGACTTCCGTATTGTAAATTCCCGTATGCTTATTGACGCAATTATTATCTCGGAAGTTTTACGTCATTTATGACCGCAAGCGCTTCCCCGCGGTTGCGCTAATTACCCGGGGCCTCCTCCCCCAGCTAGCATCGGACCTCTTGTCAGTTTTACGAAAGAAAGAGCAGTCACTGTGGGCTCAGGGCTTGCGAGAGAATTAAACCAGAACCCCGGAAGCTACCGAGGCTGGTCGTCCCAGTACAAGATTCAAACTTCACTCGTTCTCTGTAGCCGCGCGATCGCTGGAAGTACTGGTTGAAGAGGAGAGAGAGAGAGAGAGAAGAGCGAGTGAGATGTGTTTCCGCTGGCACAGCTGTTGAAAGCTGCGCCCTGGTTCGGGTCTATAGGAGCTCTCTTCTCGTGGACTCGGAAACCGGTGTCTGTGTGCCAGCTTCGTTGGCGGTATGGACCAGCAAAAGAGACGGTAAGTAACCTTTCCCGCCCTAGCCAAAAGTAACTGGAAAAACAGCTGCGAGCACGCGTATCTATAACCTGGCAGGCGTGTACACAAAGCTTTCGGTGTTTTTTCAACTCTTGGTGGTGGACCTGCACGCAGGAATAAGTAGCAGTTGGAAAAAAAACCAATGTCCCTTTCTTGTGCCCGGTAGGAGCGCATTATGTCGCTGTTTTTATGCCAGCTGTGTGTGGCATTCAGTAACTTGACTTTCATGCAAGTTTTTTGAAAACCAGAAGAATGGGGTGAAAGATTAACACAGTTAATGCACAGTCCTTTATATTTGATAATAAGGGCCATAATTATGTGCAACACTGTTGCTAAAAGACACCAGCTAAACAAGAACCAGTGCTTGGGTCTCATAAACTTATACTTATTTGTGGAACCCCTTTCATTTCAACTCATCACCTGATGCACCCATCCTGTATAATTATCTGGGCGTGTAATTTAAACAAGTTTTAGGTGTGCTCTTATTGGCATTATAGTCAAGGGATTTATTCAACCTAATACGAGGGGGCGTCCACCTTTTATTTATGGTTGGTTTGATCACCTTCTTAATTAAGACTTGTTTAAAGTAACCGCTGTTTACACAACTTGTAAATCTGTACACAGTTATTTTGTGAGAGGTGTTTAGTTGTTGTATTGTTTGTGAATTATAATTATACACAGGTCAAATAAACAAATAGATCCATGTCCTAATAAGCTCGCCCCCGCTAAAATTGAAGATCATTAGGCCAATTTAAAGATTTATTGTGTTGCCTTTTGCCATTAATTGATTTGCATACCTACTATCTAAAGGGGTAAGGGGCATGGGGAGGTGTTTCAGGGGTAAGGGGCATGGGGAGGTGTTTCAGGGGTGTGTGTGTGTGTGTGTGTGTGTGTGTGTGATTTCCCTCTGTCTCTGCTTCCTGTAAGCAAACCCTTTGTTTCAGTAGCTACAGTGCAGACTGTGTGTGTGGGCGTTTTCCTACCAATGAAAAGAGCGGTCGGTATTTCCATACTGACAGTGTTGTGTACATACAAATGATAAGCAGTGGAGTGCAAATATTGTAGTCCCTGCTGGCACCGTATCTACTTGAATGGTACTTGAATAGTACCATCTCTAGCTAAACCACTGCCTGTATAATATAGATGATCTGACTGAAGCAAATAAAAATCCAAAACCGTATAATTTTACTGTGTGTGTAACAGAGTATCCAGCTAATTTTCATTCGATGACTGTGTGATATTGAGCAGGACACACTACTGTACTATCAATGATTTTAAACGTGTTGGATAGTGAAATGTTATGGCGGAGTGTGGTATACTGCATTTGGCACGAGCAATTATGATCTTAGGCCATCCTCCAGAGAACCCAGTAATACGGCATTTCCCCCTTCAATTTTTCATAGCCAAAACAACGTTCTTTGTGCATTCAGTTGTAGACTCGCACGCTGTGAAGTCATGTGTGCTGTTCTTGACATGTATTGTCCCTGGCACGTTTCCTAATAGTACACATACAGCCGTGTACTAATATGCCCCTAGCATGCATGCTACATGTATTGCCCTAGGACGTGTATTGTCCTAGCATGCATGCTACGTGTATTGCCCTAGGACGTGTATTGTCCTAGCATGCATGCTACGTGTATTGCCCTAGGATGCATGCTGCGTGTATGTAGGATGCATGCTCCGTGTACTATCACTGCCTGTAGAATGCATGCTGGTCTACACAGTCTATTGTGTTACAGCTCCCGTTTATTGCGCCCGAAGCTGTTGAACAAATATTTGCGCGGTGTTGCTTGCAGCTGTTTGCTCTGTTGAATCGTTGAACTTTGTGCTATAGGCAGACACAATCAAGTGTATTCATTACCTAACCCCCCCCAACCCCCTCAGTGTACTGTCTATGGTTTTAATCGTAAGATGTCCAGAGGAAAATATATTCAAAAGCCCTATTAAAATTCCCAGTCACTTATCCATGAGTTTTACTTGGAAGAAACCCTGACAAGGAATGTTTCAGGGGAATTATTGGGGAATACCCTGTTAATAAAGGGAAGAGGGGGAAATAAACCATTTAAACCCCTTCAATGGAAATGAGTGTGTATTATGAATATCGTTGGCACTGAGACTGCCCATGCAGTAAGCATAGGGTGTCCCAAAATTACACTAATTTGGGTCTCGGAGGTATGTACGTGTATACTCTTTTGGCAAGGTGTACTATGTCATGTGGAGGAGTAGGGCGTGCAGAGTGCAACAGTCAGAATTTGATTGGCATGTCCTGCAGAATACTGTGATGTGTAGAAGGAAAAATCATTTTTAAGAAGACACTAGAGCAGGCGTCGGTTCAACAGGCCAGCTGTACTGATGTGTCTATAGTGGTCCGGTGTTTTTGAGAGCGTCTGTCTACCTCAAATACCACTGTAGTGTTGTGATAGTTGGCGAGAGGAAAATGCACGAGCGCTAACTTATGTACATAACACACGTGGTGTGTTAGGACATTTTCCTATCCTCTTACTTTTACACACAACTATTTCGCAGAACCTATATTACTAATGTATGGAGGAAACGTTTTAGATTCGGTGGAAAATTTTAAAACTTTTAACTGCTTATTTCCCCGCAATTCAATTGGTTGTTGCCCCTAAAATTTTGAACGAAATATACAGACTTGTGAGATTTGCTGGATTTGCAAATTCTATAGCATACTGTTAACAGGTGCTTGGCTGGTCAAGTGTAGCTTTCTCACATCTCTTTTGTCAAAACACCTTTAATAGCTCCGTGCAATGTTTTTCTCCACCTCGTCGTTCCTCTACATTTGTGTAGGATGCTGCTTATCGCAGTGTGGACCTGTTTGGAGTAGCTTGTGGTCCGTATGTAGCTTTTTGTGGACAGGTGTCGGGTGCTGTTTTAGCTGTGTATGTCACGTAAAACCCCCTCAAAGATGTCCTCATAAGGGGACATGACATAATAATATTCCTGGCAAGAAATCTGAATGCCGGGGAATTGTAGCTAGTTGGAGTTTCTGGAAAATGCTCTTAATGAGTCGGATGGTATGTACAAAGCCCAAGATATGCTGCCGTAGAATCACGGAGTGTCTAGAATTTTGTTAGTGGCACTACACATTTTTGCAACCGGCAGCAAGTTCGTTGAGTGATCTTATGAATGTGGATTGTCAAATGTGGCAGTGTCAATTGTTCAAAAATCGCACACAATTCAGACCACCGGGTGAGCTAATTTATCTCACAAACCAGTTCTAGAAAGGCAGCGCTCGCCACCCCGTGTATATGCCTGAGCTTCTATTGTCTATATTAGTTAGATCACAGGTTTGGACAATAGCCAGGTGGCGGCATGTTATTATATATGGGATAGGGAACTGTCTAACTGAGTAACTTACCACCCGCTTCCTGTAAAATTTTGAGGCCCAAACATGGGATATTTGAGCCTCTGCACATGATTTCTGCAGGTTTAATGGAACGGGGAGTAAATTTACTACACTTTTTGTACAAAATAACTATTTTAAACTTTCACTCTGGCCATACGTAGCATCCATACGCAACTGTGCCGTTTCCACTATGAATACATACATACATACATACTGTGCATACATAAAGCTCATTGAAGTGTATATCATGCATATTGTACTAACACATCAGCTCAACTAACAATCTTCTGGCTCACTATGTACACGTCTGGAGCAGCGACATCGCTGTATTAAACTTTCTATTGAGCCTGCCTGAAACACTTTGGCATGGACACAGTATTATAGACTGTAACCTACTACTATCATTAAGGGTTATGCCGAGCTTACAAGTCTCTATATAGCTTTTTGGGCTTGGCTATAATGCCTCCTATACATCTGGGGGCGGAGGACGCGGTGACAAAGCCGGATTAAATGCCGACCTCAGCCCTGCATTGTAGCCCAGTGGGGAAGGTGCCAGGCCGTGTGTGTTAATGACGTGCAATGCGACCACGAGCGCTGTTTAGCCAACACTTATAGTCCCATGCCTGCCAAGTTGTCCAATAACTTCTATTTACCTCGTGCACTTACACTAGATCCAAGGAAAACTAGAGTGCATGCCAGTGAAGTATAGTGTTACTATAATTATACTCTACTCCAGCTGTACTATAAGCAGTTCAATAGGTTACGAAATGCCACTCTGAACTCTACTGTGAGGTAATATCCCTGGTGAAACTTCCCTAGCTGATTCAGTAACTGATTGATAACTGATTGAGGTGTTCACCTTGTTGAACCAGGGGTTTTTAGGACTGCAGTTACAGTACATGTGCTATTGTATTGCATATACCTGGCTTTGCCATTTTGACTATTTTCAGAAACCATCCATAGTTTTGATACAATGTTCTTTTTGAGCAGGAATTTTCTGTATACACGTGTTAAAACTTGGACAGTTATCAAATCAAGTAAGGTATCCAATACAGACATGTTCAGTTGTGATGGCCAGATTTCTAATGAAAGTGTCATTGGAGGACTACATATATTAGGGAGTGCCGAGTTGAAAGAAAAGTGAATAGCATGTATCTGTTGGTATCTATTACACATATTCTCCCCCCATCCCGAGTATTGAAAGGAACACCCACAGATGTACACACACAGGCCAGCTGTGTATGTATCAACTAGCTACACAAAGCAAGCAGATATATAGCCCCTGCGCATTGGAGCAATAATTCTCAGGTTCTGTCACATCCACTCTTATTAGGACACCTCTGAATTAATGACACTTCTCTAATAAGAGAGCACCTTTTCTTTCCCCAAGAGCTGCTCTTGCACACCGTTTCCTGTATATGCCCCTGAAATAAGGACACCTCCGTAGCGTGGACACTTTCTTCTATCCCCATTCATTGGTGTCAGGATTAGAGTGGCTCCGCAGTATACATACCATTTGTGTGTGTGGCTCTGATTATGCCTGTGTAGCTGCCCTAGAAGTGCATTCGTTTCTGCATGTGCAATGTTTCCTGTCAACTTACACACAGGTATGGCATTCCTTTGGGTATTGCTTTTGGGTAATCCCGCTGGTTCCTATAGTAGTATGGGGTATATACATTAGGTCAATACCCCACCCTCCCTTTGACCTGAGGGACTTCCATGGGAAGTGCGTATGCAACTTATCTGACCACCTGGGGAGAGCTTCGGTAGCTAATGAATGTAATAGAAAGTGCTCTAACGTTAGTGCTTACATGCTCATCCACCTACGAGAAACCAAGTATGCTCTAATTCATTTAAACACCTATCATTGCTGTACTATGTTTTTAAACCTTCTAATAATAATATGTTTATTTTAAAAACCATCCCCTAGTGCCTACACACTTTTAAACATAGAGAATAGACTTTGGCAAGTATATAGTCTGTGGGGAAATAACTATAATCTGTTTAAGCACCTTACATCATAGTTCCAGTAAGTAAGCGTTTTATAAACCTATTGTTTGCTCATTATGCTCATTGCATAAATTATACATAGTTTCAGTGAGTAAGGTTTTTATGGTTCCAATAAGTAAAGGGTTCTTGTTAGCACAGGGTATAGTATGGTCATTGCGTATTGTTTTCTTACCACTGTGCATGTGTTTGTTGTAGTGTTTTTATAGCGGTTTCAGTTTGCCCAAAAGCAGATCGTCCAACCGCCCACCCTCGAACCACGATCATGTATGTGGTGTTGTGCACTGTTTGTCTACAACTGTCCACACCTGTTTCCTCCCGCTAGAGTAAACATTTTGTCTGCATCGCCAAACACGTCAGAACTTTATGCTGACCCGCTGTCTTTTAGTGTTCAAAGAGTGAAGGGGTCAGTTCGCCCATTCAGTGGTCGTTTCTACTCTCGCACCAGACATAACCTCGGACGACAATGTTATTCATTTCTTGGGAGAACCAAGTGTAATGTGTCCTCTCCAGTTTATTTAGTCACTTCCAAATGCACCCTCAACCCCCTTTATTAAGTATACTAATAGGTTTGTATGAGCAAATGTGTTGCAAGCAATCGTGTAGGGGGTTTTATATACGGTCGAGTTACTATGCCCTCTTTGAAGCTAATAGTGAATGGGAGAGATTTTGTACATGTGTACAAACCATTGTATGCTCAGATGGTGTGTGCGTAAGTAAGTGGGTCTTGTTTTAGGAAATGTGTTGGTACAGCATTTGAATTGCCCAACACCAGGACAGGGCTCTATCTATAATATTATAGTAGGGTGGTGTATGCCTATAGTTGTGTGTAAGGGCAGGCATGATATCGATTATAGCAGCATGTGTCCATTGAGTGAGGTATATGGCACGTATTATACCATCTGTAATGACTATCCATAGCTTACGTACGAAGTATGACTGTAGTTAGTGAGTACAACAGTATGACCTATCATGGTGCTTAGTTCCCTGTCAATTCCATTCTCCTACGTAACCACTCGCCAATGCATGAACACTTTGTGACCATATTTGTAGTGCATTCTTCGTTGCAAGTGTTGTAAACATTGACCAACTGGTCAGGCGATGTACACAAGATAAATTGTACATGACCACAATATGGAAAAGTCAAGATCAACTACACACATGTTTACCTTGTGTCGTTTTTGACACAAAACATGTGGACATATATACAGTTTGAGAAATACTATACGACACAAACATACATGAACCAAGGGAAGGGGTCAAGCGTTGTTTCGGGGGTATAATTATACAAACATATAAATATCCAAGAAATTACTCTTGGCATGTGAGATATGCTGTTTTTACGCTTGTAGTTTATACATAATGTAGCTGTGTGTATGGTTGAAGCACACACACACACACACACACACACACGGACATGCTACCACACACAGGACTGTGTTCAGTCCTGTCTAACCAAGTCTGCTGTAGTAGTACCCTCCTCCTCCTTGTCCACTGACACATTTCTCTCACTACTATAATATAACCCCAACGCACTTTACTCTAAAGAATTCCATAGTACTACTGTGTGTATGTGTGTGTACATGAAATGTTTGTGCAAGTGGTTTGCACGAGTTGCTTGTTCGCGCATCACTCTTCGAAATAATTATATAGTACTGGGTGAGTTTTGCGTATTATGATTGTTTCCTAGGCCATGATACGTGTACAATTGATGCAAGTTGTCGCATGCAACTTCAATGTGTGGGTGTGATTGGTCCATGTCTCACATGTTGTGTGACTTATGGAAGCTCTGGGCACATTTATGTGTCCGTGGCTGTTTATTACAACATGCTCTACCACACAGTATTGTGTAAAATATGCCCTACTAAAACTATATACTTTATGAACACTCTATGCACAACTAGACGTTGAGTAAGCCCTTTCACTTTTAAAATTAAGACAGCACACTAAAAAAGTTGTTCCCCTATTATGACCATAGATTACAGGGGCGCCATTACCGCCAGGTTTATATTGGTCGGTGCGTACAAACCTTTGTGTGTCAAAGACTTTACTCTCTGAAGGTATAATATGTAAGGTTTCAGAGGGTGAAATATTTACGCCTCTTTGATAATTGTGTTTATAGTCTCCCACGTATCATAAACGTACTCATGTTTCACTAAGTATGGCGGTACTTAATAATATAATAATTGATGGACACAGTACATACATACCTAGCATCATAGATGTATGGGACCATTATTAGTTTTGTTCATCTTCTTCTCATTCAACATTAACCATGTTTTAGCCAACATACTACATGGAATCTATTATGGGGATGGGCATGGACTTTGAAGTAGATATAGCATGCACTCTCCTTGTCCAACAAGTATCCTAGCAGTCATGAAGCGACGAAAGTTTGTCAACGTGTATGCACGTGTACCTAAACACCTGCAGGAAGAGAGAGCAGGAGAAACAGAAGAGAGAGAGACTGGTCCAGTCTAAAGCTGACTCTGTGAGTTAATTTTTCAATGCAGATAGCAATTACCGGATTGCACAGATTTTCACTCCAGATTTTAATCTTTATGTACACCACCTGTAAATACTACTGCCACTACACATTCTTAATCTGCAAATGAATTTACTACCAACAGAGGAGGTACTCCAGTGTGTGTGCACAAAAAAGGCATTTCTCCATGATTATCAGCTCAATCAGTAGTGTACAATGCATGTTACGTGTACTATAATGACATGTGTTTGTGTTGGGCGTATACATGCAAACATGTCTAACGTCTGCCAAAAACACAACTAAACACAGATCACCGTCTCCTGTGTGAAAATCTTATGTCTGCCCCCTCAGTTCCCCAGTCAATCCTACTCTCCCTCTGTCCCTCCACACTTCCCAACTCTCAAGGTATGTACATTGTATATGCAGTGGCTTCTATTTGTGTTACGTATTATTTATTCCATACTCAATGGCAAACACATGCACGTTGTTGACTTTGCTGCATTCTAGTGCTGTGTTCATTGTGAATGGAGTTAACTTTTTCCTTCTTGCAGAGGACAGACGGTCAGAGCGATGAGCTGACTCGATTGACAAAAGTAAGTTCCGTGACAATTTATAAATGCTGTGTAGGAGGAAACATTCATGATTAATATTTATATAATAGCAGAATCTCATTGCTGAGTTTCGGAATTTCAACACCAGCCACAAGTTTTGTTTATAAATCTGTAGGCAGTTAGTATAGGGAGAAATCAATCCCTGATTCAAGTTACATGTGTATGGCCTTACGGTATATATCGTCACTGCTCCTTTCACTTCTCTCATTCTCTGTCATTAGAATATCCTGGAACCGTACGATGCGTGTCACGAGGCGATATTCAAGTCTGTTGGTCACAACCAGCAACACCAGTTGCTGGGAACCTTCGAGGCTACCCCCAGCACTCCACTCCACGTCTCCGGAAATCCGTTCGATAAGCAGTTCGGACGATCCGCGGGACTCTTCCCTCCCCATCCTACCACTACAGCTGCCAGCAGCCTCCCTACAAAGAGCTCTCTCACTTCGACGTCCGCAGCCGCGACTTCCTCGTCTTCATCGTCGCTGGCTTTCTCGCTCTCCGGGTCTTCCACTCAGAGTCGCGATCACCACAATCGGCACTCAGTTGCAGAGGCCCCCGGGAAATCTGATGATAAATTGGGGAAACAGTCTCGCGGAAGTGGTGCGCACCCGCGAAGCGATCGTAGTTCGCATGGCTCCAAAATGAGTCGCCAGTCGTCGGATTCTAAGTACAAGAAGACTTCGTCGAAGCCGCAAGGAGATGGTCAGCCGTCGAGTGAGGGCGCCGGTTTGCGCCCCTCGAATGTTCTGCAGTGCGGAGAAGGAAGAGCCGGTGAGTGAGGCCATCACAGAGCGTAGGCGGTGATACTCCACCACCCAACGGGCCCACCCCCTCCAACGAAGTCGAACGAGGATCGTCTCAGACAGGGGACCTGGTTCAGGTTGATCCTGGCAGGGACGGCTCGCGGCTCTCACTCAGCCACGCCCGTCGGGGCGGAGGGAATGACCTCGTCACATCCTCGTACAGTGACTCCGCCCGTCCCTCCTTCCTCGTCGAAGAAGTCGGCGAAGCTGAAGAAGCGGCACAGCCATCATTCGTCTCTCTCGACTCCCACCGTGCCTCCTGCCCCGCACAACCAGCTGGTGTGCGACCCGACCACGTCACCAACGCCCCACTGACCTGCATCCACCGCCACCCGGCACACTCTCCCCTCCGGAGGAAGCTCGGCAGCCCAAACCCCAACCGACCATAAGCGGAAATCTATTCCGTCACTCTTCCATTCCCTCAACCGTCTGATCCTCCTCCCTCAATCTACTCATCTCAACAATCAGGCCACAGGAACAGTCCCACAAGCAACCACAGGCACCACTAGCCACCGTACACTCCTACTCTGCAAAAACACGGAATTCCTCGTCTCAATGTCGGATCGTCATCTCTATCGACAGCATCTTCCTCACTCACTCTGCGACAAACTACTGCGGTACCTCGAACACGAGGACACAGCTTTAAGAACTGATCGACCGTTATCGACACCTCCATCCTCCCTCCATCCACCTCCACCGTCTTCTTCTGTAATGGGCTACTGCCAAATCAGGACCACGCAGTAATGTCGCCCCTACCACCATCTAGCAGACGAGAGCAAGCCAAGAGAAAGAGGAGGAAAGAAGAGACAGAGAGAGGGAGAAGAGGTGCAGGACGCGGCGACTGGATCACGAAGTCATCGTCACAACCAAAACCCTGACCAGAACCTCGAGAATAAAGTCGAACCTGCAGACCACACCAAGACGGCGAGTCCAACTAATCCACTCCATGTGCTAGAACAGAGAGGCAAACTTGTGGCACAAGAGGCAACAAGGAAATCACTAATTAGCAATCTACCGCTCGTCGCTGTGAGCGAACTAGGTGCCCGTCAAAGGGCGTAAAACTGGAAAACGATGGGCAACCACCGGCCCAGCCATCTGACCATGAGTGAGTTTGTATAGAGGAGATCGGGGAGGACAGACTGGTCACGATACCCATCTACGTGTGTGTGTGGTAGGCAGGGAGTGGTAGGCGCACCAAGGCAGCGAAGAAACGGGAGTGATAGTGTCGATTAGCATGTGTGGGCCGTTTCAGATTCAGGAAAGTCTGCTGTCATCGGTTGTGTTGTGTCTTTTGTTTCCCACAGTTCTATGACAAAAGAAACACAATACGGCAGAGCTAAAAGACAGTGATATCGGCGAAGACTGCACACTACCTACTACCGTGACCCACCTTCTCTCTGATTGTAATATTATCCAGCAACTTCATATTGATGTTACAGGACAAATACGCGCTGGACATCAACGATGTACAGTCGTGCTTATAGTGACACTACATACACAGATACGCCGTGGGTCTCAACAACTAATGATGGTAGCTGTGTACCTCTGTTGGTGGAGGAGCTGAGTATCCCACGGTCGTGTGCATCTCCAACTCACTCCATCCTCCTACTCAAGACGATCGAAACTCTTCACTTGTCCCGATAGATGTCTGTCTGTAATGAAAATGCTATACGTATCACACATATAGAAAATAAAAATCGTAACAATAAACTATCATACGTTTGTAACCATTTGATATTAATAGGATTATTCACTGTGCTCTTTTTTCCAGATAGCGCCATCCTAAGTAGCGCAATCATAAAATTAGAAGAGTAAGTTTCCCCTTCGCCTCTCCTTCTCCTCTCTCTCCCCCCGTCTCCTTCCTTCTCCCCTCTCTTCTCCTCTACTCTCTCCTCGCGCGCACTCCCCTCTCCTTCTCTTCTCCTCTCTTCTCCTTCTACGTTCTCCTTCTCTTCTCCTCTCTCCCCCGCTTCCTTTTGTTTCTGTCTTAAAGAGAATGTGTCGTATCTAAGCCTGATAAATTTCGAAAATGTTACTGAAAGAAGAACTAAACAATGGGGCCCAAGTGCACAGTAATGCATTAGGTTTCCATTTTAGTACAATTTAATTATTACTGCCACATTCCCCTTAATTCCACTTATTTACCTCCTTCCTTCATGTTAAACGCGAACTCCGCCGCATTAGCGACCCGCCACCACATGCGTGAAGAGTGGACAGCAGTTACAGCAGTAGCTCAGAGTCGTCCAGGAATCATATGACGATGACGCAAGAAGATAACAGAACAGGTAGTCCAGAGAAATGAGAGCGGAGATGTTGCCCTGAAGCTCCCTTTTCTCCATGAGGCTAGTGGATGGAGAAAGGTTAGTTTTACATGCCCACATTTTCGGTTAATGAAAAAGGAAATTTTAAACTATTTGGTCTTTTGTGTGGCAAGTGGGTTCGTACCTTTTTTCTTGTTTTTGCCTAATGTAGGTTGTTATATGTACCGCTGCACAATTTTCGTTGCTATAACAGCGAATAAGTCACTCCCTCTGCAACTGCATAAGTACAGTTTAAATAAGAACCGTGATGGCGATATATCTTGCATATGTTAGGTTCTGGCTGCCAGACCCTTATGTTGAATAGTATAAACTCCACGAAGAAGACAACCCCCACACTTTTTAGACAAGACCACCCCACAAACTTCTTCATCACATCCCTCGGCCAGTTTTCACCTCCACCCACCATCTCCCATCTCCCACCTCCCCGCTCACCACAACTCTACCCCTCTCCTCTTCACCTCCCGCCCCCTCCAACCTCCCAACCCTCCGTCACTCCTCTCCTCTCCTCCTGTTCTCCCCTCACCTACCCAAACGCGATCCCGTTTCCCCATTCAGTCGGTTTTGGGGGTTCGTCACTGCTCGCCATTTGCCGTCAGCGTAACTCAGACTCTTCACGAACGCAGAAACATCCTTCATCCCCCACTACTCTGTATTTCCTGCCGGCAGTTTCTAGCTACATGATTACAATTGGTAAGTGTGGGGTCCTTTCTACAGCCGGGCATCTCCTGGTGAACATATAAAGACAACCTTCTGGCAGCCACCACAGACGTCTCCGGAATTTTCACGGAGTTGCTTTCCCTCCACTCTTCTTCAATCTGCCCCTGTCCTTTGCCACTACGCTCGTTCAGAGACTGCGGCAGTGGCGAGGCTTCGCTCTGAGCAAGCACGGAGACGGAGCGGGTGGTGGAGGTCGGGGAGCGAATCAGACGACGAATCCACCATCGACGGCGAAATAAGACAGTGAACGGTTCCTCGTCCTCTGGTGACGAGGGAGAGGAGAGAACAACCCAAC